AAATGTCAAGACTTATAAGATCATATGGAGTAGCCATTTTTGAATTTTCTTCTTAAATTTTAAACCTAGAAAGAGTGGCCTTTATATAAGAATTTGAGGTTCTAGAATATTTTTGTAATACAATTTAAGTTGATCACTATGTATTACATTTTTAACCAATCTTCTATCCATATTCCTTAATTTATAATTTTTGTCTTGCACTTCATGTATGAAATAAGATCTCATCCAACGTTCCTTTAATTTTGCAGAAAAATTAGTTTTTAACCATGTGCATTCCACTAATACTTTGTCACCTATTTTAAATTTCTCAAATGTTGCGCCAATATCATGTCGATCTTTTTGCTTCTGTTAATCAACTTTGATTTGGTTAAGAGCAATTTGTCGATCATCTTCTAATTGGTTGATTATCTTAAATAATCTCTTCATTAATGCATCCTTAATATTTTTGTCGTCATTCAATTCTGTTGGAATTTTTAATTCAATTAGTAGCTTTGCTTGTCTTCCATAAAGAATGTAAAAAGGTGTATAACCAGTAGTATTATGCTTCATTGTGCAGTAAGCAAATAAAACTGATTCTACATATTCGTCCCATTCTTTTTCTTTGTCAGCAACTAATTTAGCAAGACATTCACCAATTGTTCTATTGAATCTTTCAACTATACCATTTGTTTGTGGTCTATATACAGAAGTAAGTCGATGTTTTGTTTGAAATTTTTCACAAAGTGTATCTACTATTTTGTTTAAGAAAGAAGTTCCTCTGTCAGATAGAAGTTCTTTTGGAACACTATGTCTGCAAATAATTTCATCAAAAATAAACTTCGCAACTGTTTCTGATTTGATATCTGGTATTGATTTAGCTTCAGGCCATTTTGTAAAATAATCTATGACAACAATTATATAACGATTTTCTTGAGAAATTCTAGGTAATGGTCCTTTTATATCAATTCTAACTCTGTGAAAGGGTGCTTTTACTTCGATTGGTTGCAAGGGTTCTTTTCTTTTAAACGATCCTCTTTTCTGGTAATTGTCACACCGCTGAATGTAACTCCTGACATCATCAAACATCTGAGGCCAGTAATATCTTTCCTTTGCCTTTTCATAAATAGCATCAATTCCAAGGTGGGCTCCTGTCATATCTTTATGAAGATTATAAAAAATAATTTCCACTTATTCACACAAAATTACTCTTTTATCTCCATCTCTAGTTCATTTGTGTAATAGGTTATTTTTCATCATGTATTGGGTTGAATCCTTTTGCAGTTTAATCCATTGAGGGTTGTCCAAATCTGGTAGATATGTAAGAGTTTTCAAATATTGGGTTAGATTTTCATAAAATTCGTTATCCATTATTGAAAAATCTAGAGTTTGGTGATGGTAATGTATTTTTCTGTGTTGGGTTAAGATCATATAGATTTATCTGAGATAAGGCATTCGCATTTTCGTGATGTTTTCCTTTTCTATATTTTACCTCATAGCTATATTCTTGTAAGGTAAGTCTCCATCTCATTATCCTTTTGTTTTCAGTTAATTTTGATTCAGCATTCAGTAACCATTGTAATGCTGCATGATCAGTAATGATTGTGAATCTACTTCTAAAAATATAGTGTCTAAAGTATTTTACTGTTCACACTATAGCCAAACATTCCTGTTCTGTTGTGCTATAATTCTTTTCTGCTGAATTTAAAGTCCTACTAGCATATATGATCACATGCTCTTTTCCATCATCTCCTTTCTAAGAGAAGTACTGCGCCTAAACTAATCTGAGAAGCATCGGTATAAAAAACGAAAGGTTTATCAAAATCTGGATATGTGAGAATAGGTGCTGATGTTAATTTTTCTTTCAATATATCAAACACTCTTTGCCTTTCATCATTCCATGTATAACTTTCCTCTTTTTCTGTTAGTTTATACAATGAAGATGATATTTTTGAAAAATCCTTAATGAACCTTCGATAATAAGAAGCTAATCCTAAAAAAGCTCTTAATTCCGTTAGATTTCTTGGCCTAAGATAATTGACAACTTTTTCAATTTTTGAAGGGTCAGGTTGGATTCCTTCCTTATTAACTACATGTCTTAAAATTTTTATTTCATTGGTACAAAAATGACATTTGTCTAGTTTGATTCTCAAATTAGCTTTTCTAATTCGATCAAAAACTAATTGTAAATGTTGTAAATGTTCCTGAAATGTTTTGAGTGGATGTTTAAATCATCCATATAAACCTTAATAAACTTTTGTTTTTCCTTTTGAAAAATAGTATTCATCGTCCTTTGAAAGGTAGCTGGAGCATTACATAATCCAAATGGCATCACTGTAAATTCATACAATCCTTTGCTAGTAATGAAAGCAGTTTTCTCTACATCTTCTGGTCGAATTTTTATTTGCCAAAACCCTAAGAATAGATCTAAGGATGTGAACCAACAAGAGCCTTGAAGTGAGTCTAATAGCTCATCTATTCAGGGTAATGGATAATTATCTTTTCTTGTGATTGTGTTAAGTTCTTTGTAGTTAACACACATCCGCATCTGACCATTTTTCTTTCTGATTAAAACTATAGGTGTAAACCAAGAACTATTAGATGATCGGATTACTCTTTGCTCTAACATTTCTTCTATTTCTGATGCTATCCATTCCTTTTCTTTTGGAGATGTTACATATGGTCTCCTTTTTATAGGATGTACATCTTCTGTGATAATTACATGTTGAGAAATGTTGGTTTGAGTTAACTCTGATTTTTCATTAGCAAATAGATCTTTATTCTCCTCTAGTAACTGTTGTAACTGCTACTGCTGATCTTTTGTTAAGTTTCCTATTGGTGTTTCTTTTCCTTTTGATATTTCCATCAGCTTATCGCTTGCTTCAATTTGTGCTTTATTAATTGAAACAGCTATTTGATATTTTTGTAGATCTTGATGTAATACTTTACAATATGAACAATCTTCTTCTTTTAATAATGTTTTACATAAGCATCGTCTTGGTCCTTTCCAATGCTTATTAGTCCTAAGAAGTTCAAGTTTGCTAAATTCTAAGAATTCAGTTGGATATTATTGATTGTTAATAGTTGTCATATTGTTATCAAAGGATATGTTCAGATAGTGTTGAGGATTTTCATTTATTTCTTCAAGTTCTAGCTTATCATGTTTTTTCTCAACAAAATCTATAGGAGTAAACACTTTTGGATCAATCTTAGAAAAGCACGTGATTAGAACGATATCAGTTTCATTATTCTGTTTGATTGTTATGATTTGTTTGCTTGTATTGATAACAGCTTTTGCTTGCATAGTTATCCAATCATTTCCAAGTAGAACATTATATCCAGAGGATTCGGTAACTATCATGTCTTCTCTAATCTCAAACTTTCCTATTTTTACTTCTACTTTTAACATTTTTCTAAAGACGCTGTCCTTGCTCCTGTAACGCTAATTATTTGTACATTTGTAGACACCTCAATATCCTTATGTACAGAGTCTAAGAAACTTTTGGTGATAATACATCCTACAGCTCCTGTATCAATCATCATATTAATTTTCCTTCCAAAAACTTCAGCTTCAGAAAAATAAGCATCCTGGGGTTTATGTTCTTCCTATTGAGCTTGAACAGTTGTTCTAGCTATCTCTAAATTTTCAAATATCTTCTAGAAATATTTAACATGTGTTGGAGTCATTTCTTTTCTTTTGCATTTCCCTTTATATTCTTCAAAAATATTTAGGATCCATGAATTTTGCTTATCTGATTCAGTATTTCTAAGGGTTGTATTCATATTTACTTTAGTGATGTAAACATCGCAGTTAAATTCAGGATCATTAAAAATAAGTTTTGATATATTATTTTTAACGATTAATCCTGTTTCCTCTTCTGTTTCCCTAATAACTACTTCGATTGAATACTCATTTTCTTCAACTTTTCCTCCAAGAACCTGCCAGAGGTTGTACATTTCCTTATGTTTATTGATCCTTTTTGATAGAAATATTCCAACATCATTATAGATGATGTTCATTACATAGACTGGGTCATGAGACTTATTAGACTTATTACTTTTAGATATAATTGACTTTCTATTATCTTGTTGCTTTAAGATCTTTTGGATTTCAAGATTCTTTTTTCTTGTGATCATGTAACTATGATGGTCAACATCATTAGAATTACAAACTAAACATGAAGTATATATCCTTGAAAAATGTGTCAATACTCAACTAATTCATCATCATCTGGAAGCTTGTCAACAATAATATATTCATCCTCATAATCCTTCTTCTCAAATTCTCTAATTTCTTCTAGTGGATCATTCCATTTTATTTGTTTTCTTAAAGGTTTGAATTATTCGCACTCTTACCTTCTAAAGGTGTGTCCACTAGTTTAAATGATTGATGGAAGAATTTGTTTGCTGATTTCCTCCTGAGAATCGTCTATTATTTTGCTGGTTATTTCTATTTCTATTGTTATAATTACCATTTTTATTATTACCTTGATTGTTATTTTGGTTAGACTAACAATTCTTTGCAAAGTGACCAGTTTTATTACAGTTGTAGTATACCTTTGTATTATTATTATTATTGTTGTTATTACTATTATTTATATTATTGTTGTAGTTGTTATTGTTTCTCTGTCCTGATCTACAGTCTCTTGCAATGTATTTAACTTTACTACATTTATGACAAGTCCTTGTATCTCTATTATTGCTCTTATTATTACTATTACTATTATTATTTGGCTTATTTTGTTCTTCCAATTTTGACATGAATAGGGCTAATTTTTGATCAATCATATCTTCCATTGATTCATTTTGCTATGAGAGATTTATTGGTAAGACCTATTGGAATGTAGCCATACTTGTTCGAACTGGGATAAATCCACCACTCATACCCTGAAGATAATTTGGTATCATTGAGTATGCAGATAATTCCATTCCAATTGAATATGCCGTCTCTAATGCCAAAGCTTTATTTATAGCTTCATCAACTGTCCTAGGTAATGAAGATTAAACTGACACAATGAATTCTGATCTCAATCCCTTTATGAATTCTGCTATTTTGTCAACCTCCTGCCTCATCCCTTGTGGATCTAATCTTTTCTATAATTCTGTAATTTGAGCAATATATTCATCAATAGTTTCTCCATTTCTTTGTTTAAGATTTTGCAGCTGATGCTTCCACTGTTACTTTCTGAAGATACTACAATAATGGTCCTTAAATTGGTGAATAAAGGATCTATTCTGCAACATGTTATTTCTCCAATATATAATATTGCCTTTACTAAATCATGTAAGAGCTGTTCCTTTTAAATAGTTAGGCAATATATCAAGAATACGATTGTTAGCAACTCTGTTAGCTTTACAAGCTTATTCAAAAGCTTCCAACCATTCAATCGGATCTTGATTTTCTCCTTTAAATTCTGGGAAATTTACTAGTCTTGTTTCGTGAACTATTAGATGTGGAGTTACTGTATGTGTTTTTAATAAATCTCCAAATCCTTGCAAGAATTGTGTGATTACGTCATTCCTTCCTTCTGGTTTTCTTTGTTCCTCTCTATTGTCAGTATCCTCTCTTCTATTATCAGTTGTATTTTGATAGATATTTCTTCTCTCTTGAACGTTTCGAATTGGACTGAAAGTTATATCTTTAATATTCCATGTTGTTTCAGGATCCTCATCATTCTGATCATTCTGATATATGTTATCGTATTCCGTGATTGTTAAATCTTTGTCTTCTAGATTAGTCTATAGATTTGAACTTCTTAATGGGTTGTTTTCTCCTCTTTATTCATCATATGATAGTATCTAATATGCGATTTTCAAGATCATTAGAAGCATGTTTTTCAGACAGATATTTTGGATCATTTTTTATTACATTCCATACACTTCATTTGTCTTCATCTGAGGTCATTCCCTCATATTTTTGCTTAAAAACCTGATCAGAAAGAATATTATTAAGGATTGCCGCCCATTCTCTATGTGGATCTGCTTGGTTTTCAGGTATTCTTCTACCAGATGTTGAAGTACCTATGTGAAATGTATCTCCATCCATCTTTGATGCGTTTGAAGATTTTTGAAATGTTCTTCTAGAAGTTCCTTTGGAGTTATTTTTAGAGTTAGTTCCTAATTTTATTGATGTCTCAAATTCCTAACAATCAAATTCTAAATAACTATTCTAAGCACTTTCTAAGTCTGTAAGTAATGTTTCCAAAGGTTCCTGAGCAAGTGGTTGATATCTAATTGATTGTATAATTAATTCAAAGCACTTTCCTAATGCTTCTGAATTCTTTTCTAATGTAAGTGTTTTTTCAAAAGCTCTAACAGTTATACTATTAAACTGTTCTTCTTTTATCACATAAACTATCCAGAAATACCAAAAGTTCTCAAATGCTTTCGAAGGTTGTTCTATTATCAGATAACACTCAGTACAAGATGGATCTGGATTACTTATTATCTCTTATTTGTTTTCCTATAAATGTGCAGTAGTATGTTTAGTAATCCTTTGATTATATTCCTTTCTACTTATCATTAACTATTTTATTATTCACGTATTTAAGTACTTTCTCAATAATTAGTCTTAATTTATGAAATCTGATAAAATTCTTAATATTATCAATTTCCTGTTGAATACGCTGAATTATCACAAAGGGTACTGGTTTATCTTCACTAATGCTTTCAAGCAAATTCTTTAAAGTTCTCAATTGCAATTTCAATTGCAATGACTGAGGTGTATATAGAGGTTTAAGATAGACT